TAGGCTGAGAGAGTTGGGCTTGTTCAGCCTGGAGAAGAGAAGGCTGCGGGGAGACCTGATTACGGCCTTTCAGTACTTAAAGGGGGCCTATAGGAAAGGCAAGGAAAATCTTTTTAGTAGGGCCAGCTGTGACAGGACAAGGGGTAATGGTTTTAAACTAAACCAGGGTAGGTTTAGACTGGATATAAGGAAGAAATTCTTTACAATGAGTGTGGTGAAACGCTGGAACGGGTTGCCCAGAGAGGTGGTGGAGGCCCCATCCCTGGAAACATTCAAGGCCAGGTTGGACGGGGCTCTGAGCAATCTGATCCAGTTAGTGGTGTCCCTGCTCACTGCAGGGGGGTTGGACTAGATGACCTCTAAAGGACCCTTCCAACCCAAAACATTCTATGATTCTATGAAAGGCACTGATACCAACTCCAACTAAGCTCTGAACTCCTCTTCTAATTTTTTGACTAGTCAACGATGTAGACATTTTCCAGTGTAGATACTTAACATTGGACAGCTGAAGCCAGGTTTGGTAAATGCCTGCACTTCACATTACTTTTTTTTTTCTTCATTTAATCCTTCTGCCTCAGCTTCCCAAGTACAGAAAAATGCAGGTAATAAAATTATCTTCAGAGAGAGGTTAAAATAATTAATGTTTGTAAAATCCCAAATGTAATTAAAGCACATGGTAAAACTTCCAGCTAAGGATAGATAAGGATCTATAAATCTTCTGCAATTTGGTATATTTATTGCTTTTTCTCACCTTTTTTTTTTTTCAGTATCATTATTGTGACAGTTCAAGTAAGGAAAGGGAATCAGAAGAAACCAGTACTTGAGAAACATGTGAAACATGACCTTAATAGTTATTGCTTTTACTACTTCCACAGGATATGTTTTTCTTCCTCTCTTTATTCTTAACTTTCCTGAATCTTTTTTTGTCAGTTTACCTTTGGTTTCCATCTTCTGAGAAACTGGCCTAAGCTAAGTCAGTAAGGCTTCTCTCTTAACACTTATGACCAAGGCAAGTTAGAAACAATGCTATAATAGCATTTGCTGAATTTCAGAGCACTTCATATGGTGATGGCATCTACATGGCATATTCTTTGCCCGAGATTTTTTCCCCTAAAAGAAGCATCAGAAATAGAAACTATATCCTTACCCTTTCCTGTTCCTGTTTCTTTGTTTAACCTTCACAGGCAGTGATTCAGAATAACTTAAGAGCTCACAAGTATAAATGAGTCAGCCATCCCTCCTCCCAACAGAGGGTTCTTCTTTAAAAACTAGACTGTTTTTCAAAAGCACTAGGCCTCCATTGATTTAAGCACTTCTGAAAATCAGGGCTTTTCGTTATGTGTTTACATGTCAATTGAAGAAAAAGATTTTGTAGTCCTAGTGAAAAAAACTTGTCCTTAATTTTTCTCACAAAGAATAGACTCTAGGTTTGTACATGAACACATGTTGTATTGAACATTTTTTAGCTGAGTACATTCCTTTGGCTTTTTCACAAGCACTGATGATCCAGAACTGTTTGAATCTCCAGTGGGCTATGTGTGACGACTTGTGCTGTTCTTGACAGAATGTGAGTTATAAAAAGCCTGTAACTGTGGTGCCTGCTGGATGAATTCTGATTAGAGAGTCCATCTGAAACTGTGCTTTGTGCCTCTGAATTGTTCTCAGTACGTTACAAGCAGGACAAAGTGGTATGTTTTAATACAGATTTTATTTGACAAGCATGTATTTTTTCAAAGCAATAACTACAGTATTTGTTGTAAAAAAGGAGGATTCATTTTTTCTTTTCGTGGACACTGATTCCAAAACCCTGAGTTCAAATTTGTGATTCAGAGGAATCTTTATTGTAACACTATGTAAAGTAACAAAGAAGAAACAGACACAAGGCTCAGGCTACTAAGACCAACAGATGGTAACAGGAATAATCCAAGGTTTATTACATTTCTGCTTCTTTTGTCTTTAAGGACCAGTTTCCTTGTATGCAGGGTATGAATAGAAACTTTTAAAATAGGAAGAATTTTGAGAGAAAATGGGAGGCAGAAGTAAAAATCTGCCAGTTCCTTTTTTGTGTACTTCCTCCTTTTTTTCCTGTCTTCCTTTGTTCTGTTTTCTTATCCTTCCTTTTCCTTTAGTCTTCTCATCTCTTGTAACTTTTCAGCTTCCCTCGTCCCTTTCATACCCTGTTTCAAGACACTCTACCCACTGCCTTCAGTCTCTGCCACGGTGTGGCTCTCGCCTGAGGAGAAGCAGCCTGGTGGACTGTCTGTCTTCAGGATGAACCCTCACTTCAGGGGAGAGCAACTGGTTGCGTTGAAACTCACTGTTCTCACCATTGCCTGGAGCTATGGTTTAAGGCAGTTTTGGCAAAAAAAGAAATAAAGTTGCATGACTAATTTGCATCCATTTCCCTTCCTGAGGCTGTCGGGGATGAATTTGCCCCAGGACTTTTTATTACACATTGAAGTGCTTATCTTAATTGTGACAACCTGAAATGAAGCTCTTGCAGCTGAGGATCTTGCAAGACTCTTCTTCTTCCCATCCATCCCCCCTCCACTCCCAAGCCTTGATCCTTTCGTCCAAGGATCTGAAGTGATCTGAAGTGAGTAATGCACACCAACAAGGGGAATCTACAGACTTGTAAAAGCATTCAATAATATGTTGCGGTCAGTTTGTTTATTCTCAGCTCTGTCTTCTCTGTTCATTTCTGATGGGAGGATGGATCCAGAAGTATGTAAAAATAATATGATAGAATATGGGACTTCTTTTCTTTTTAATGAAAACTTAAAATGCAAGGCAAGCCTGAAGATTCCATATCCTGTAGTTTACTATATGCAAATGGTAAAGTCATTCCCACGTGTCAAACAATATGTCAGACGCAAACAACTGATAGCAATAGGGTGAGGTTACAAGAGGACCAAGCTTGCAACCACTTGGGGTGGTGGGTGTGTGTGCAGGTGAAGATTTGCCAAGTGACTTTGTTGCCTATAGTAGAGCTCCTTCAGATTATACCAGTATAATTGAAATTCATCTTGGTTCTCTGCTGTCAGGATACTTGCTTGTCAGTCACATTTTTGTAACACCAATGTTTTTCATGGAATTGTAATTAAGATTTTGTGTTGCCATTGTAGTACAGGCCAAATTTCAGAGTATACGCCAAATTTCATTTAGTCCCTGCAGCACTGTTTTACCCCCTGAAGAGTAGCTCTCTTGTCACTTTTCCATTTCATCTCAGCCTGTGCCAGGTAACCATTTGGATAGTATAATCTTTTTTCCTGGAGAATCTCCCACACGCAACATGCAGTCACTAGTCTTCTGAACTGCACCTGTGGATTCTGGATGATATTTCAGCCAGACCCATACTTTATCCTTGTTGAATACTAAGAACAGTGCAGACTCAGCACGTCTTGTAGTCTGCTGACTTAAAATTAGTTTGTAAGATGTTTGGAGTAGAAATCAACTCAACTTGTGTATGGATGCTGCATATGGGATTGCAGAAGTCTCTATCACACAAATAAACATCTCTCAGGATGTGCCGGGGGAGTGTGCTTTTGAACTTTGAGTGACACACAGTAAGAGTCAGCCTTTATTTATTTGCTTAAAAAGCAGATACGATCCTGGAAAGAAAATTCTTTTGGGTAGGAAAGGCTTTACAAAGTCATGTATTGTAATAAGCACACGTCTAGTGTTCAGCCGGAGAAGGAAATTTGAGTTTCCTTAAAGGTAAGAGTGCAGGAGTGGGCCTTCCCCATGCTCCAGAAGTTTTCTGAAAGAACTGTATCACCACATACCTGCTTTGGGTGCAGCTACATCCCTTTGAAAATCCACTGCTCCCCATGCAGCTGCTCACAGACCAGCCTTGCCTTTGCCTGGCGGCTGGTAGAGCATCTGCGTCATGGGTGAGCACTGCTGATTTCTCCCAGTAGAGGGCAGTGATGGTACTGTTGGCCTCAAGTAAAATCTGCCTATGCCACGTGTTTGTCAAAAGGTAGCTTTTAGGAATATAGAAGCTATTAACTATCCATATTAAAGGATGATTAAATATGGAAATCATAATATAACAGCAGGATCACTCATATAACAGGCAGCTGTATTATTTTTAGGAACAGAAAATTCTGGGATGAGTCAAATTGCAGCTAGTTGTATTCAAATATTTCTTCTCCAGCCAGCAACTGGCTTTAAGGCAGAGAATTCCTCGTGTTGACTGTCTTGAATGCAGACAGTAGTTGGCAACTGCTGTAAGAAATTTCCTGCGAGAGTGTGCTATCCCTCTTAGTGAATATCATTCTATTTTGAGCCTAATTGAAAACTGAAGATAGAAAACTCAGCAATTATTTTTCCCTGCAGTACAATATTTAATATTCTGATTTCATGGCTGTCTGACTACAATGATTAGGAAGAACGTTTTCTTATAGTATTTACAGTACCACAACAATGTATCAGGAGCATTGTGTATCAAGGGAAGGAACTATTATGTTAAAATATGTGGCACTTAAAAACATACCAAATTAAAAAGTAGGACGCTGTTAAGGGTTACATTTGGTGTAGTCAATAATTGCCTTGTAAGCTTTTTCTTGCCTTTGGCTTTGAAAAAGCTGTTCAGGATGAAGAAAACAGCCTTGAACTAGAAAGGCTTTAATAGGAATGATCTGCAACAACAAAGATAACACCTCTGTAACAAAGGCATTTTATGTTTAGATCTGTACGACTGTGTTAAGTCCAAGACAGTGTGGTTATTTTTGCTGGTGGGGAAATGGAAAGTATGTGTGACGGTGCTGGTGGTTGTATAGTCCTTTAACTTACACCAACTACTCAGTGGGACAAACTCTCACCTGATAACCTCTGTGCTAAGTGGGGGAGAGACCCCCAGTATTTCCAACAGGATGCTGGTTACGAGAAGTAAATAAGGACAGAAACTTGTTCAAAATGTCTCACAATTTTGCACAGAGAGTTTGAAGAAGTACTATAAATTTAAAATGTTTGCTTGTTTTTTCTTTTTGTATCAGATAGTATTACTGAAGTCTTCACTAACATCTATGTGACCAGTTTTGGACCTGTTTCAGATACTGACATGGTGAGTTTCTGAATCTTTTGCATATATGGTAAATGGTGTAAGATAATTAACTTCCTTTAAACTTGTATTCAGCTTTTACTTATTGTGGACAAATTTGGAATAATTTCATTGAAGTCAGGAGGTGCCAAATCCCATTAGTTCTACAGATGGAAGTTGGCTTATAGACCTTACACAGTAAGTACACTTATCTGTTTAGTTTGGACCAGCGAATCTTCTGATTGTCCCCGCTGACTGTACTTCGGTTCATATTCTGGAGCAGTCCTGAGATGGGTGAACTGGATTCCTCTTGGATGAAACTAGAGTGAAAGGTGCACTGTAGGAGCACACTTGATGTTGGTAGCCTGAGGGACCTGACTGGTGTCAGTCTAAACTAAACTTCTTGAAAGGTGTAGCTTGGAAGTTGGGTCATCAGCACCATTGTGTTGTTCTACAGATCTGCCCTTCATAATTTGCACTATTTAGTAATGATTTAAAGGAAGTCAGTGACATTAAAAAGAAAGAAACTGTCGAATATTGCTCTGGATTACAGTTTTTCATGAAAACAGCAACTGAAGAAACTCTGGGGAAAGGGGTCCTTTGTAGGCTCACTGCAAATCATACACAGATTAGGCAGAATGTGTCGCACCAGGGAGAAAGATCTTTGTGGTTATAACATCTCTAAAAGGAAAGAAGGGAAGGACAATCTGAAAGTTACTTTAGTTGCCCTTGCCATTCCGGCAAGAAATTATTTCTTGCATGAAATTATTTTTTGAAGTGTTTTCAACATTCATGATATATAAGAGACATATAAAATACTACCTATGTGTATCTACAGGTATTAAAAACTAATATTTTTAAAAACAGGCAATATTTCCTTCTTCTGTGAAAAATTTCAGGTTATGCATCATACAAAACAGGAAACATTTTGATGCTACAAGCTAGGTTGCAATAAAACTAAATATTTCATGGTACAGTGTACATTTAAAAAGTTATTTGCTCACTGACTAACAGGTAGTTATAGATTTGGAGAATATATTCTTGGTTTTTGTGTTTGGTTTTTGTGTGTGTTAGTTTCAGTTTTCAAGATTTGTTTTGACTGTGATGAATGCATTACTGAGGCTTCACATGAAAAGTCATTTCGTAGGAAAAATAGACATTTATTTTCTTTTTGTCACTGTATATGTTACTGATTCTCTTGAGGTGTTTTTTCCTAATGATGTTAAGTTTCTGAAATTATTCTATTACTAATTACAAACCCAAGTATCCACAGCTATATACAAAGCTGATATGAACATCTTGACCTTGTTAGTCTAGCATCTCATGACTTCACAGTGTTTACACTTACAGTATTCCTCTGAAATGGGGAGATGATACTAACCCAATTTTAAAGCTGTGGTACTGAGGTGCAAGGAGACTTATCCAAGGCCGTGCAAGTCACCTGTGCTTAAATGGGAATTTAATGAAAAGCCTTCTAAGCCTATTCCCTAGCTCCTGAAACACTTTTGACATCAGTGTGTAAACGTGTGTGGAGAACTCTGGGTGTCCATTTGCACCGGCAGATATGACGGCACAGTAAGGGGTCAGGTCATTTGATGCTGCAGCTCTAACAGCTCTGTGCGGAGGTGTTAATTGAAATGGTGCAGTGCATCAGAACGGCAGCTGTTGCTGTAATGGGTCGGTCTATTTGCAGATGAGTAGATAGGTAAGTAAGAGCAGTTTAATACTTACTACTACAAGTTTCAGGCTTAATTTAGCTTGTTCTGTTGATAATTATAAAATCATTTTGAAACGTATGAGCAGTCAATTAGAAAATTTCAACATGTGAGTTTGAAATAATAGCTTCCAAACTATCACATCGTCTGTCGAACATGAAGGTGACATTAGAGTTTTTACCATGAGTGCTCTTTCGTTTAGGTATTGCATTACTGAATTGATAATGTAAACTACTATACAGAGGGTTTACTGACATTTTCTTCTGTGAGTGGTGGAAACTCTGGAATATTCTCATTTTATAAGCTTCCTCCTTAAAAGGCTTCATTAGAAGCAGAAGTTTGACTTTTGCCTATGTACTCCTAAATCTCCAGAGGATCCCAAACTGAATCTCAGATCTTTTCAGGAAGGTTGAGTCCCAGCCCCTGAGGTCCTTTGCTCTCATAGTCATTGCTGCCAGTCGGACTTCTTCCCCTGCAATTTTTCATAGCAACAATAGTCAGCAGATGTATGACTGCACCCCTTTGCATTATCTGTTTACCAGTTTGGGTGTTTTTCCCCTTTGTTAGCATCCTGTGAAGAATAACAGTGCTGAGGAGAAAAGCCTGCTGAAAATGGGAAGGGGACTCACTGCCATGAGAGATGATTAATATGTGTTTATAACATGGAAGAGAGAGGTGGCACACGGAAAATGATGGGTAGATTGGAGCTAAGGACACAGTTGCTGCATGGTGGTGTTAATTCACAAAGTTGATAAAATGTCATTTTAACATTCGTTGTTGTTGAATTGATAACAATTTGTGAGATTTCGGTTTTCTTCACTAAGTATAGTAATTCCCATTAATGACAATATAGTATTGCAAGAAATCTGTGACTCACTATGATTGCTAGAATGTAGGTTTTTATTCATGTTCCCTGTATTTTTCTAGTATCACAATTTTGCCAGAAAATAATTAAGTCCAAGGGAATTTGATCTTTGACTGATTTTAGGCTAGGTGAAGTTGTCATTGATAAATTTAGGAGGTAAAAGCTGAGGCTGAGATTTTTCTCCAAATGTGTTAAGAGTCAAAAACTTTTGATCCTTGTGGATTAACATTTTGACTATGTTAAAAAGATGCTACTCTCTGTTCTGCCCCAAATAGTCAGCTACCAAATCTGTTGACTCTTGACCAGAACTCTGTTGCAAACTGTGCTTCAAGTGAACTACTGTGACTAAAATATGGGTGTATCTATATCAGCTGTGTCAAAAAATGCTACTGTATGTCAACCACAGTATTTAATGTCAAAGGAAATGCCAATATACAACAGGAATTTTCAACTTCATTTTGCAAACTAATGAGAATAAGGAAGGCAAACCAAACCATGGGATTAAACAGATTTTACTTCCACTGTTCTGTCTTTTTGAGCTGTTATTTCTCTGAAATGTTTAAGTTCAGTATTATTAAGTTCAGCCTTATAGGCTTCCAACCAAATCAGTGATACAAATTTATTTTGACATTAGCCTGAGAGAAGAAAAGCTGCATTGTTTAGAAAAACAAACAAACCAAAAATTGAACAGAACAATTAAAAAACAAAGCATATGTGGATTTCCTAAAGAATTATAAGGCTAAATTCTGATTAAAGAGGCTAATTAAAACATTTGTAATCAAATGAAAATATTTAATATTTGAAAATTCTGATATGAAGGATAATTTTGGTTGGATTATGATTTGTAGGATAACAAAATGGAAATCATATAATTTAAACATTGAAACTGATTATTTCTTTGATTTTTCAAAATTAATTATTCAAAGCCTCATAGATTGATGTATCTTTATAAATATATACACTGCTAACTCTGATTTTAGCACTGCCAGCAAGGTACTTTTACAGCTTTTTCTCAGACTTACTTTCTTTCTAGGCTTACTTCACACTTTGCCTTCTAAAATTTCCCAGATATCCATAAGTGCTGATGTCCTTGATAGAACGAAAATAATATAAATAATAAATGAGAAACATATTTACTCCTCAAGCAATAGTTATTGTATGTAAGACAGAGCATATAGGCACTGAGAGCCTTTATATGAGGTCTGCTGTGAAGAAAGCTTTGCCAAGATTTTGCCAGATTTTGCCTGAGAGAAGTCCTTCTGGTTATCACGGGGAGCAGTCTTTCCTGCTTTCCTACAACACACAGTAGGTGGCAGGACATGGATCAGTTTTGCTTGAATATTAAAACTAACAAGCTTTCTGAAAGTTTTGTGTTTTGACTTTCAACCTTAGCTTTTCATTGTCTTTGGGGAATTTTGTTTGCTGTGGTTACATCTTTGATTTTCTCTGTTTGTTTGTACGCAACAGTTTTTCCTAGTTTCTTGATGATAGACCTCTATTCTTTCGCTCTAGAGTCAAGAAACATGAACGTTTCTCTGTAGAGATGGTCATACCCAGCTAGTTCATTGCTACACTCACTTCCGTCTTGTCAGTTTTCAATTAAACTTCCAATAAGCATTTCTGATTTTTCAAATATAGCCAGAACAGAAATTTTCAGTGAATGCTGAAGGTCAAATCCAGAAATGTCCGAAAGGCTTGTTACAGCATCTCTCACTACAGCTCTTTAGAGAGAGTGGCTGAACTGGGAACCGTGTTTCTTTTTTTGTGTCCATTTTTCAGATTTCCTCATTCCGTTTTGTATTTCAGGTTTTCGTTTTTTCTTTGAAACTTGTTTTTTAGCGTTTCTAAGTCTAATTAGTAGCTATGGTTCCTTAAATGGAGAGAAGCTTTACAGGGGTGGTATGATATGTAAGTTAGGACAGAATAAGGCAATGCACCAAGGTGATTTTTTTCACCAAGATTAAGAAAAGCACTGCCATTATTTTACTGTAGCTTTTATTTTAACTCAGTAACGGAAGAGTAAAGAGTAAAAGGCAAACAGAAAAGATAAGTACACTTGCCTTTCTTGGGTGTTGGGGAGCATCTAGGTTGTCTTTTTATCACTGATATGTTTCTGAAAAGTCAATACATTGGTTGGTCTATTGCCTTTTATTATAGGCTCAGGTCATTGTCTTTGCAAGTTAAATCCATAGGCTGAAATTTTGAGGAGGATATCTCACGTGATCTCTTGCAGAATTTCTGGCCTTTTATTCTGTTGGGAAGGCTTGTTCCCCTGTGCAGCATCCTGCCAAGTGGATCGATATTGGAGATTGATTTGTCAGAGGCTATGTCCAAGCCCTTCACTGACGTTAGCTCTCAGCGTTCCTGGATTCCTGTCCCTGGCACCAGGCATCCATTGTGTTTCAGGGTTGCTCTTTCTCCATGTCTGAATAAAAAAAAGGTAA